TATATATATATATATATATGAACCGTGGTTTGGTCTTCAATCTATTTTTTTTTTATAATGGAGAACCCCTAACTGTTACCCTTCGGGCGCGCTGACCAGGTAAACCTCCGATCCGGGAGCAGCCTTTGTATATGGATTATATAAACCCATAAATTACCTCCCTCCCCACCAGACAGGAATCGAACACTCAACCTCAACCTCAAGGTGGAGTTACCTCCTAAAGAATTAAGTATAAGCAACCTCTTCAATCTTTGGAATTAAGTAATTGCTTAGTTAACATGTAGTTGTGTTTTTAACCAAAAAAAAAACATGTAGTTGTGTTCATGAAAGTGATCATTTGATGATAATTCATAAGGAAATTACAAACAACTTAACGATGTGTTTTATTAATAATTAAACTAAGATGCTGCTCGTGTATCTTGTGACATTAATTATTGATAGCGTATTATAATTAATCAATCTGATTTTAATAAGATTTTGTCTTAGCATGCATTATGAAACGGCCGAGTGCCATATGGATTCTGTTAAAAGGCAAATCAGTTCGTAATCTCCGCCGAATCAACTTTTGCTTTCCATGTCTCCTCCGCATGATTTTGTTTTACTATTGATTGGGTTCGCAAACTCACGTGCTAATATATATATATATATATATAAGCACACATACATCCCGTATATTATCAAATTCATTTTTTATAATTATATATATATATATATATATATTTCTATGTGTGTGTTTATACATATATTCTGTTCAGACGATAGAAAACGCAATTATGCATTAATAATTGTAACGGTTGAATGGCTATTGTAAAAAATTTGGGTAATGAAAATCAAAACCTTTGACAAAAAAAAAAGATGGAAAGCCATTATGGATAATAAGAAAATATACAATTATTAATGCATAAAAGAGGGTCAAATAAAGAGGCTATTAGTGGTGCTCCTCATTAAATTTCAGTCGGACCACAATGGTTAATTCCATTCGGGCTTACCTTAGTCAACAAGTCATAAAATTCCGTGTGTATATATATTCTCTCCATATTTTATAATTAATATTCGTATACTTTTGAATTATATATATATATATAATATTTCAATATGGTTTTATATGTCTGAATTCTATCATTTGGGTTTTTAATTTAATTTTAAAATATTAGCGTCAAAGTTGGAGGAAAGTAAGAGGCGTCGGGTCGAGGTAAGTAAAGCGACACCACTTTAATTACTCATAGGTTGAGAGATCTTATAATCATTCGAATTTATGACGCTTAGATTTTTCTGACCCTTCTTATGTCACTAATTAGGTAAATCATCACGTTTATTTCTTTCCAATTAATTATTAATAAACTTAATTAAATGAACGAGTAAAATAATATGTTATAAAAAATATCAATCTTATCCGCACTATATTTTGGAACGAAGTTGCATGTTTTTAGAATATCCGCATTATAGATCGGAACAAAATCACATGTATAAACTAAAGCATAGGTTTCACCACAAATTCATTTTTTTTTGTGTGCGCCAAGATCACATATAGCCTTTTGTACGAATCTTTCGATTTTAATTAAATATTTCGAATTAAATGTATGTAGGCGGACCTAACATCGATAATAAAATCGTTATCGACATCACCCAATTCACAATCATAACCAAAAAAAAAAGTTGTTCACTTTTTCCTTTTCTCACTAACATTTTTTTCCTCCTTTCTTATAGGGAGGTAAAATGAGTCCGACTCGCAGGGTGGCTCGTGAGCTAGCCCTTATTTTTTCGAGCCGGACTCAAATATTTCGAGCCCATAAAAAAACGGGCCACAAGAGTCAGCCCTTCACGAGCCGGACTCGTGGTGAGCCAACCCGTCACGATCTGGACTGGCTCGCGGGCCAGAAAAAATATTTATTTTTTAAAAATTTTAAAATTTTTGTTTATACAAATTTTATTTTTATTACATATTTGGTTTATTTTGTTTAAAATTTTAATTTTTTATTATATTTTAGATATTTTAAATATTAAAAATAATTTTTAAATATTTTTTAATATTAAAATTTTATTTTTAAAATTCATATATTTGGCTCGCGGGCTGGCTCGTTTGGTTCGCGAGTTAACACGATCTGTGGTGGGCTGATCTATTTTTGGCTCCCTAAAAAACGGGTTAGGTTGGGCAAATTTTATTTTTAAAATTCATATATTTGGCTCGCGGGCTGGCTCGTTTGGTTCGCGAGTTAACACGATCTGTGGTGGGCTGATCTATTTTTGGCTCGCTAAAAAACGGATTAGGTTGGACTGAGCTGAAAATTTTCCAGATCGGGACGGTACGGGTTGGACTGGGCCGGGCCCGGCCAGCCCGTTTTACACCCCTACTTTCTTCGCTCATTTATTAGTTTATTATTTTATTTCACTTCTCCCTCTTCTTTCGTTCTTTTTTGTTAAAGCAATCTATATTCCAATCGTGGAATTTTCTGATACGTTCCGTAATGTAAATAAAAAAATATAATGCCCCGAATTCATGTGCGGATGGATAGTGACCATATTGAATTGGGCCCACGCATATAATGGAATTGTCTACTTGGATTTTACTTTGGTCGACTTGTTATACAATATATGTATATATGCGTGTATATATATATATATGTATACATATGAGTTTGTGTGTGTGTGTGTGTGTGTCAAAAATCATCATCATCATCTGCAAAAGGAAGAACATACATGCACATGTTATGACCATGGGAGAAGATTTTCAGCGTATAGAAGCATCAAGACATAACACATAATCATAAGTCTAACTAATCATGCAATCCAATTTTGAAAGTACAGAGTAGGGACTTAACCTCGCACCTTCTTCTTTGTACTTTTTTTTTTGTCTCCGACAATCTTTGGTTAACCCAACCGGTTTTTCTACGCTTTGGTGTATATAAAACATGTGAAAACTGACGGAATTTCGAATTCGGACAAGTTTTTGATTGGTTACCCATTTACAAAAACGAAGAAATCAATGGCGCAGCAATTTCTGATTCGGACCGAGATTTAGGTTATTATTTTAATTGCGGTTTAAAAAAATCCAGAAATAAGAAAATAAAATAGTATATTTTTGTTCAAAGAGAAGCCCAAAGGCCCAAATACGGATACGGCCCAAGATACTTGTTCAACGATAAGCCCAAAAACAGTATACGCGGCGACTGGAAACAAAAACGGGGCCCACTTGGAGGGTCTTAGTCGTCTTCAAAAAAAATTCTTCATCCTTGCGTTGCCCTAACGCCACCGTCCCTTTCCTCCACTTTCCCCATTTCAGAAAAAAAAAACTCAAAACAATACATATATATACATATAGAAAAGTCGACCTCACGTTTTTGAATTCTTTGTCTGTTTTTGTCCATATCATCTCTTCGTTTAAACCCAAGGGTTTCGCTTCAATCTCTTATTGCCTTCTCGAGTAGAAGAAGAAGAAGAGGAAGAGGAAGAAGAAGAAGAAGAAGAAGAAGAAGAGCCCATGTCTTTCAGAGGACTTAGCAGGGTAAGCCTTTCTCTTTTCTTTTTTTTTTTAAATCTCGTGATCCTCATTTTGAGATCTATTTTTCGGAAATTTTTAATTTTGCTTCTTCGCGGGCATTGTTCTCGATCGGCATCTCTCGTCCCGGTGGGAGTCGTAAGTTGGTGCGAGAAATTTGTAGTGACGCTGGAATTACATAAGTACTGGTGCGGTGATCGGTTAATGCATGCAACGCATGAATCGGATCGTACTTTGTAGTTCCACACAGATGGAGGAGACTATTTCCGGACACGCAAGCTTTATTCTTCAGTTGGAGTTTAGAATAAAGCTTTGTTCTTTTTATTATTATGGAACATTGGTGTGAATGTGATGTGTTCTTCAGCTATTTTTGTCTTGTAAACCTCCAGAGATGAAATTTGGCGCCGCGCCCATACTTAGTGCTATTTCCACTGCTGCTGCTGCGTTAAGTGGAGCACTAACGCTCGTCCTTGTTGATGTTCATCGTTGTTGGTTCACAACTTCATCTCAGAATCAAGTTGTTAGATGCACTTGAATTGTGAAGTCCTGACACGTGAGATTTCTTGAATTGTGATGATTCTTGATTGTCTAATTAAGTCGTTGTTTTCAGCCCAATGCATCATCAGGAATGGGCGTTTCAGATCACAGCAAGTCCACATTCCAAGAGCTCCAGAGAAAGAAAGTTCACCGCTTTGTGGTCTTTAAGATCGATGAGAAGAAAAAGGAGGTTGTTGTGGAGAAAACCGGCCGTCCCGCTGAGAGTTATGATGATTTCCTCGCTTCTTTGCCCGAGAACGATTGCAGATATGCTGTTTATGACTTTGATTTCGTGACCTCTGAGAATTGCCGGAAGAGCAAGATCTTCTTCGTTGCCTGGTTAGTTTTCTACCCCCAAAAGACGATTATGATATAATCTCATAAGCAAAGGTGCATTATCTTTTACAATATGACGAAAACGAAAGGTTGGAGCCCGGAATTGGAATCTGCTTAGACATTTCGGCTTTGCTAATTCCTCCTCGAGCAATATTGATTTACTTACTCTTCAAGTCTATGGGCACAAGCCTGTTTTCAGTTCTGAGTTTCTATCATAGTTTATCGTAACATCGTCGATCTGTCAGTAAAATCTTTAGCCCATATGTTGATAAGTACTCAACTGTCTCACTGCTCATCTGAAACACAAACACTTTGAGCTTCCATGTTCCATAAGTCTTTATCTTATCACAAAGCAAGAGGTTTCACTGATGTCTTGGCATTAAATGATCAGACACACATTACGTTTTTTTTTGGACAACGGCATTGGCAGGTGTCCCTCGACGTCTCGTATAAGGGCAAAGGTGATATATGCAACCTCCAAAGACCGGTTCAGACGGGAGCTGGAAGGCATTCACTACGAGATCCAAGCCACTGACCCTACCGAGGTGGAGCTAGAGGTTTTACGTGACCGTGCCAACTGAAAGCTTGACAACAGAGCAAAATGATATCCTGATGATGATGATGATGATGTAATTGAGTAACCAACCAGCCATTGGAGCGGCGATGAATGTAATGCTGTTCCAATTTTGGTCTGAAAAATTACGAGAGGTTCATCAAATGTTTGTTCATGGGAACCGAAATATGATGCTAAACATTGTATTTGAGACATAACATCAAATATCTTGAACTAGTTCTGTCATTTCTTGTTTCTGGAAACCGAACTGAATCATGTATATTATCAGATTTAACCACGAATTTTATCTGTAAACTATTGTGTGGGTACAATGGTTTTGTTAGTATCAATTTTAAAAAAAATGGCATTTTTAAATAATAATAAAATCGAATCTTTAAATATGAGAATAATTAAGCCAAAGATCAATTTCAGACATCCGCAGTTGGTATTTTCTTTTAGTCTATGAAAAGACATTTCTAACACGAAATCCTAAGATTGTCCTGTATGTTTGGTATCTAAAGATACTTACGACCATAATTTAATACAGGGGTCTTTAAAAGAATAAATAGATTTAAGATTACTTATTGTTGTTGACCAGATTGCCCTTCACCATCCGATCCGATGAAGAAAGCGCCAGAGAGTACGGAGATTCTGCGTGGGACCCACCGCAGAGGATCTCTGTAACAAACCCCTCCTTCCATTGTGGCAAAAGCGATTTCGCGTGACCCAACCATACTCACTAGTTATATTTTATATTAATTCAAATTTGTTGAAATAAATTAATTTTTTTAATATGTTATTTATAAAAAAAAAGGAAAAATGTTCTTCAGCTATAAAAGTGTTGGGTCGAAGAGTTGTCTCAAACAAAATCCAAACAGCGCCAAAAAAAAAAAAGAACCCTAATAGAAACCCACAATAAGAAGAAAACCCTTAGCATTTTCAGGAAGACGAAGAAGAAGAGGAGAATCATCAACGTAATCTGGGTTTTCAGCCTTTGGTAGTGAGCATTTCCTCTTCTGCAACTTTTAAGATTTCCTCATGTTCTTGTTCTTGTGCGTGCTCTGCCTGAGATTGATTTGGTCAACAAGAAAACAAATCTCAGATTAAGATTTCGAGAGTACCTATACCCAGAATTCGATTTTCCAGTTGGTTTAACAGGGAAAGCTCGGTTTAAGATTAGGTTGGAGTTTGTCAGTTTCTTTTTTTTTTCTTTCTCCGTCTTTCGCGAATCATTCGTGTTCTTGATGTGTCTGGTCCGGTTGACGCAGAAAATGTACGAGGAAAGTGGATGTTTTGACCCTCATCCTGCGGCGGAGGCAGCGGCTGACAACGCCGGCTTCTG